AAAAAAAAAAAAAAAACACATCACATCATTATCATTATCATGACTCCATGGCCTTAATAGATGCATTCACTAAATTCTGTAGGGCTCGTGCCTCTGTGCAGAGTCGATTACGTTCCTGCGGCTGCAGCTGCTGGCCAGCGGCGAGTAATTCACAAATCACATCTGTTTTCACTTTAATACGCTGTTCCATAATCGTCTTTAGTGCCCGTCGATCCTTCACGTGTGTGTTGAGAGATTTTGTGAGAGCGGTGAGTTTCTCTTCACTGCCGCCCTGCAATCGTTCCTCTAATTGTCGCAGTGCGGCGTCCTTCTCGCGTAATGCCTGCTGCCATTCCTCCTCACGACTGGCGTAGTGTGTCTGCACTTGTTGTAATTGCGCCTCTAACGCCCGCACAGCCGCCGCCGTGGGAGAAGAAGAAGATGAAAGACTCATCGTGTTTTGAGTACGAATACCTTGACTAGTATCCTTATTATTATTATTATTATTATTATTATTATTATTATTAGGATGGATAGCAATAGCTCGGGCCACGACATTCTCTATGGTATGTCGGGTTTCATGTTGAATGTGATCCTCCACACGCTGCAGGGCCACACAAATATCATTTAATTCCGCTCTTTGGGCAGCAGTGGTGCAGCACTCAAGGGCTCTTCGCGATTCCACAGCCAGAGTATCCACTTCACTAGAGAGTCGCATACGTTGTTCCCGTTCCTGGGCTAATTGTTGTTGTAGAGTTTGTATACGAGTCTCATATGCCTTTCGCACCATCTCTTGTTGTTCATCAATATGTCGTCTGGCACGAACAATAGCGTCTTGAAAATTGGGTTGTTGTGTTTTAGAAGCATCTATTAACTCCTCAAGGACTTGACACTTTTGTTCACTAGCCTCTAGTTGATCTTGTATAGATTCCATTTCACGGCTTAATTGCCATATCTGTTCATCTAGTAAACGTCGTATAATGGTTCCTGCACGTTCTTGTACAAGTTCCGTCAATTGTCGTTTAACTTCTTCACTTATTTCCATTTCGATATCACTTCTATGATTGACTGCTGGGGCTACCACAGTGTTGGAGGAAGTGAGTAACTCCATGATCTTTTCCTCTGCTGTAAGCATTACAGTGTTGGGATTCACATCTGATCTATACCGCACTTCAGGTGTTCCATTTACCCCACGCGAATGCACACGCACACGCTGCATATACTCCTCTGCCTGTAATCGTGAAAGAGGAGAAAAAGAATTAGTAGTAGTATTATTAGATTTACCATTAGGACTACTGTTCACACGCTGTTGTTGTTGCTGAAGTGCATCTAGTGTGTCTTCCAATGTCTGCACGTGAGCATCATAGGCGTCCACTTCCTCTTGAAGAAGTAAAATAGTCTCATCCCGTTCATTCAATCGTGTTGTGAGGTTTAACATAATATCCCGTTGTTTTAATAGTAATTGCTTGTAACGATCCACTTGGGCTTTATCTTCCACCATCAATTGTCTTTCACGGTCCAATTCATCTAAACGCAATGCGTACTCCTCAGCTGTGTGTGGTCCATCATTCACACTATTATTATTATTATTCTGTCGCATCATTTCTAGTTCTTCAATACGTTCTTCTGCACGCCGCAGGGCTGTGACGAGACCTGTATCCACACCGCCGCGTTCCTGTAATTGTTGTCGTAATCGCTTTAGTTCCTGTTCATACTGCCGCAGCAGTGTGGCCTGGTCAATATCTTCATTAATATAAGCCGTGTTTTTAATATTCTTTGCCCGATTTGCAAACACCAGTGTGGAGAGAGATTCCGTGTAAGACTCTAGTGCTGGTGAAATGCAGGCAATCAGTGTGGTCTTGCAGTTCCCACCAAGAGAATCCCGCAAGGCACTTGTTAAGACCGAATTACGAAATGGAATATGTCGTGCACGTCCACCAGACTTACTAGCGAGAGCAGCAATAACATTTCCGAGTTCATGTAAAGATCGATTGATTTTCTTTGTTTCCTCCAACCGCTGCCCACTCACTCCCGCCTGTCGCACCTTCTCACTACCCGCCAAATCCACAATATGGAGTTTTCCCACACGGTAGGAACCGGATGGATTTCCATTCTCATCCTCATTCATGACTTCCACTACAATAGTAAACATGGCATGTGAGCGGGAGGATAATTCACTCATCTTTGTAGTACTTGTGGCTCGCAGTTGTGTACCTCGCTCAATGAGACCATAAACATCATTGGGACTACGCACAATCCACTCGGAAAGTCCCTCCACATAAACACCACGTTGTGGAGTATGGCGTACGGTCAAGGCTCGTGTTGTACTGTTACTATTATTATTATTATTATTATTATTATTATTATTATTATTATTATTGAGAGGCTTTAGAAGGTCAGAGATAACTTCATTATATATCTGCATATAGGATGCACGAACAAGGAAACGTTTATTTTCATGACGATACGCTGCAATCGCTGCAAACACTTCTTCCACTGCACGTGGTATAATTCCACGCTGCTCTTCACTTGTGAATCCCTCCATTGTATATGTTTTCCCTGTTCCTGTTTGTCCATAGGCCATCAGTGTGGCATTATAACCCTCCAGCACAGAAAGAACGGCGGGTTGGGCACTACGCTCATACACCTCTCGCTGGGGTGTGTTTCTATCATACACATAATCAAATGTAAAGGACTGACGTGAATAGACTCCGCCTCGTCCATCTTCAGCATCTAAAGTTTCACATAATGTGATGGAGCGATTGTCTTTTGGAATACGCACAACATCTACAAAAGGGCGGTATCCGTCCAATTCTCGTGGTACAGGTGGACGCACACGAATAACAACTTTAAAATTGGACTCACCATTCTCATCTATTCCAACTCCTCCACTATAAGAAGCGGATAATCCTCCAACTCCTCCTGTTGTGTTTGTGTTTGCAGCAGCAGCACCAGTGTTGGTATATCGAGAAGTAGGAGAATGATTGGATGTGGAGAGAGGTGACATGTAATCATCATCATTGCTGCTGTTATTATAATACTCGTACGCTGCAGTACCGCTACTACTAGTGAGAGGATCAGCAAGCACCACTGGTGTTGTTGTTGTTGTGTTTATAAATGTTGGGCGTGATGACCACGAACTGCGTGGGGGCGATGAGACACCACTCGGTGACGCATCCACACGCCGTGCATCACGATGTATCATCAATACACACAATATATATATATAGATATAGATATATAGATATATAGATATATAGATAGATGGAATAGATATATCTAATAGAGATTGATAGATAGAAAACTATACAATAAAAGAAAAAAAAAAAACAAAGGATGAAGTCAACTACAAAATGTGGAAAGAGAGTGAGGATCACTCCACTATCAAATAATTCACGAGTACCTTTATTAGGTAAAGAAGGTGAATACGCCTTGAGAGAACTCCTACTACGCTAACGAAATTCCAACACTAACAGCTAATTAAGTACATATATACATATATACGAAAAGAAAAAGATGAAAGAAGAAAAAGAAGAGATTCAATCCATATTCTTATGGTGACTAAGCATAAAGAAAAAAAAAAAATAAGCCAAATATCTTGCCAAATGACAATGGTAATTATTATACTTTCTTCAAACCCATAATTTTCTTTCTCTTCACCACTTTAAGTATCATTCATTAACCTTTTGCTATTTCTGTTTGTACAAGTAACGTTTTTTCTTTCATTATTTGTCTTTTTTTTTTCATTTTTTTTTTGTTCTTGATTGCTGCTCTCTCTCTTTCTTTTTTTTTTTACCTTTCCCCTTTCAATCACGTGTTGTTTATCTCTCTTTTTCTCTTTAAACTCCATGAGTAGACATGTGCAGACATATATACATATACATATATATATACATATATATACACCAATGGGTTACCATCATTGTAGAGGGAATGAAATGTGTCCATGGGGGTATTCACCTCCACCCCTTTGCGCAACGATGCAAAAAAGTGAGAAAAAAAAATAATAATTATTATTATTAAAATGTAAACACAGTCACTCACAGTGATTTCACGTAAAGGAAAGAAGAAAAGAAAAAAAGGAAAGCAAAAACAAACAAACAAACAAAAAAAAAAAAAAAAAAANCGCAACGATGCAAAAAAGTGAGAAAAAAAAATAATAATTATTATTATTAAAATGTAAACACAGTCACTCACAGTGATTTCACGTAAAGGAAAGAAGAAAAAAAAAAAAAAAAAAAAAAAAAAAAAAAAAACGTTAACACTACAAAGAAACAGAAATAGGTAAAAAAACAATAAAAGAAAACAAAAAGAGGGTAGAAGTGGTTTTTTTTTTCTTTTTTTTTTTCTCGATCTTTGAACTTTCACTCTATGAAAAAGTAGTGCACAGCTGCGACTCTGTCCCATTCTCTCTGTGGGGAAACAAGAAAACAGGATGATCACATTCGCTGTAAGCACTATCGTTTGTTTTTCATTCTTTTCAGAATGTGAACAAACAGAAAAACTACAATAATAACATAATACCCATGTAAAGGGAAACACAGAAAGAGATAGATACTATATATATATATATATATATATATGTATATATGTATAGTGGTAAAAAAAAAAAAAGATAACAAATCAAGCAGTTCAAGTTTCTTTATTATTCTCTCTTCTTCCTCAGTTTTGTTCTCTATCCAAATAAAGTCTATTTCTTTTTGCTACCACCTTTCGCTTTCTTAACAGGTTTCTTGACAACCTTACTCTTCTTTGCCACCACTACAGGTTTCTTCTCAATTTTCTTTTTTACTACCTTTTTGTTGTCTATCTTTTTCGTCTTTGACGATGTTGTATTTGCTGCCTGCTTTGCTGGTGCTCGTGTAGGTGTCTTTGCCTTTGTCTTTGCTGCTGCTGCTGCTGCTGCTCCTTTGCTGTTCTTCGCGGCAGCTGCCTTTCCCCCTGTTTGTTTCCCTCCTCTTGTGGATGTATTTCCTCTACCAGATCCAGTGGATCCAGTGGTAGATGTTGTTGTTGTTGTTGTTGTTGTTGCTGTTGATGTGTGGGAATCTTTACTATTTCCCTTTTTACCCTTTTCTTTGGCTTTATTTCTAGCAGTGGATGCAGCCGCTGATGCTGCTGCTGTTGTGCGTGATCTGGGTGTTGTTGGGGCCTCATGTGCAGATGGTGCGTTTAGCCAATCAGAGAGACTCTTTCGTCGTTTTGAAGGTGGCTTTGTGCATTTCTTAACAGCATCGGCCCAGAATCCTTTTTTATCACCATAGTCTGTTTCTCCTTCTGTGGAGCCCATATTATATCCTGTAATTCTAGAGAGTCCAGTTTTCTTCATAAAGTTAGATACCCCTTCGTTAGCCCCTCTCTCATTCTTTGCATACATTTGATTGATGTCTTCATCTAGTGAAGAGGCAGGGACCTGTGAGGCTCGCATACCGGGATTCTTCTTTGTAATCACCGGTCTAGACCGCACACTAGTGGCAGGATCCACAAACAAATGGTTACCAGGAGCCGACATATTGTTCATACGTGGTGACATTCTATTTGAGAGTGACACAGACTGCTGCTGCTGCTGCTGCTGTTCTTGTTGTCGTTGCTGTTCTTCTAGTTGTTGTTGTTGTTGTTGTTGTTGTTGTTGATGATGATGTTCTTGAGGTTGCTGCGGTTGTTGTGGCTGCTGTTGTTGATGATGATGATGCTTCACTTGCCCTGCGGCACCAAAAGGAACAGAACTACTACTTCCACCACCCACACCAAACATTCCCATAGAAGTCTGCATCGGAGTGGGTGACCAAAACGTATTCTGTCTTCCCATATTGCTGGATGGCGGCATCGTCGGATTTCGATTGGACATATTCCATGCAGAAGCCCATACAGACGACATATTGGCATTCATAGTGTTTGTGTTTGCGTTTGCATTTGCGTTTGGCGAGGTATTCCAGCCATCGTAGTGGTTTTTACGTTGTTCATACTGATATGAAGGCGTAGTAGCTGTGGTTGTATTCATATTAGGCGTTTGACCAGTGGAATCTATTCGAGGTAAATTCGTACGTCGTGGTTGTAATCGTTCCTCATTATTGAAGGTGTTTGTGGTTTCCGGTATCATGGAGTCTTTCTTTATTGAATCGTGCGATGGATTAGAGAAACCAGGTGCGAAGAGTTTCATATAGGATGATCCTGGTGCACACTCAGAGACGTGTGGGTTCTCCACCGGCTTTAACGTAGGTGTGGCAGCTACACTAGAACTTTGTTGATGCTCTACATTAAACGTCGGAACTGATTCCACTTGTGGCTGCTGCTGCTGCTGTTGTGGCTGCTGTTGTTGTTGTTGAGATGATGGTGGTGGTGATGATGATGATGGAAATCCACTGAAGAAATTCCACAGAGTTGCTCCTGAATGTGTAGAGGATGGAGTTGTATTGCTTATCCCTTGAGATGTCATCGGTGACGCTAATGTAGGCTCCACAGGACGTCTCTGCGGCTCTTGCTGCTGTTGTGCTTGTGGTTGTTGTTGTTGTTGTGATTGTTGTGGTTCTGTATTGATATCCGCAACGGGAACCGTTCCTGTTGTTTGCGTAGAATTTTCTGAGGGCACAACACGTGTGGATGCGAACTCTGTTGTCTTTACATCCCCCACTGGAACAGTAGTAGTAGTTGTTGTAGTATTTGTTGTTGTAGTAGTAACAGGTATGGAAGGAGATTGATCCATACCCGTAGATGTCTCTGCTGTTGTTTTTGTTGTTATTGGTGTTGGAGAAGCAAAGGGATCCATATTCAACATATCATTCATATCCTGTACCTCTGGGTTTGCAGCTGATGGTGGTGATTTTGTTGTTTCTTCCAATGCACGTACAGCCTTTAGTGTAAATCGACCCACACGTTTCTTTTCCACTTCTTTTGGTAATGGCATACTTAAAATGGCATCCTTTATCTCCTGACGGTAGTTACTAGCACTACTACGTAGAGATACAATGATGGGTGTGGATTCTGTTAATGGTGGTTGTGGCATTCCATTCTGTAAATGGGCTATAAGGACTGTTACTTCTGCAATCTCTTCATTAGGTTGTGTACATTGACGGTAGGATCCCTCTACCACTTCCATAAGTGTTTGTTGAAGAAGTGGTTGTTGAGCCACATCTCCATATATCATACGCAGTGACCAAAGAAGACTTCGTACATCTTTTAATTTAATATTATGAAGAGATCGTGAGAAGCGTTCATTAAATCGTGCAATCCATTCAGCGTTTGGATACATTTTGCGAGAAGGCCGTACAGCCTCTAAATAGCGTATTACTGTCTCTACTTGAATCCGTGATGCCTGTAGTAAATCCATACCTCCTGTAATTACAAAACCAAGAAGTGCCTCATCTGCGGTATCACCAAATACACTTGTGAGAAGTTCAACAAGTGATACGAACTGTCCTGGGGCAATGGAAATAGCTTTAGCGGCTGCAAGTGCCTTTGCAGGATCTCGTGCGTGTGGAATCCCAACAGCCAATGGTAAACTGTATAATGTGTCTGTATTCCACTCTGGCTCTGCAAAGCGTTGGGATAAGTAGATTAAACAGGCGGATTGAACATCTTGTCGGCCTGTTGCCTGTAAAAGACGGAGATCATCAGGTGAAAAACGTTCCTGTGCGGCATTTAATCGTGTAATGAGTTCTGCCACTACAAGTCCCTCAAACTTTGTATTCTTTGCCAGTGAAATAGCATCCACTAATTGTCGACCAGATATCTCTTTATAGTTAATCTGTGTATGCAGTGTCTCATCATCTGGAAAGGCCATGGCCAATGTTAACTTGGTGTAATTACTACACTCTGGTAGTAATAAACGACACGCAACGGCTTTTGCTTCTGGCATCCACGCAGGGTTCATGGGAGCAAAGGTGGCACAAATATGACAAATCTCTGAAAGGGAAAACTCACCCAATACAGTTTCTATACGTTCGCCAAGTTTACTCGCCAACTCTTGAGATAAGAGATGAGAACGGCGAAGAATACCTGCGGCAATGGCAAGTTGTTGAGGTTCAAATCGGTGAACATTCTTCGCTACGTAGTTTTGATAAGCAACAAAGACATGTCGATAGCGAAGTCTTCCACCCATTTCATAGGCAAAGACAATAGAAGTCACATCATCACAGTGATCCCAATGAAGTTTATCATTACTGTCAAGAAAACGAAGTACACGGGCTTCATATTCTCCCAGTAACATATTCATTCTACCTCCCAATTCACAAACATCACGTTCCGTTACTCCATTCTTTCCTGGTTCAAGAGAACCGAGAATCTTCGCAGTAGATCCAAGAATAGAAGCCGCATCACGTCCATTCACATTCGTTGCATACATTAATCCTGCATGTGTCATTCGATGTAGTAATTGCAACGGTAGTTGTGATAATTGATTATGCCGTAAACATGAGTTCATAAGTGTAGAGAAATCAAAAGCGTGAAAATCTCCTGTATGATCTACAAGGGCAATTAAAAGATGATTAGCCTCTGCTACTTTACCCGTACGCACCATCCATCCATACACTCGTAATAAAGATCCCTGAAGATATGGCATTTCTGTGGTTGGTGTACGTTGGAGTTGAGCCATCACCATTCGTGCGAGTGTTTCATTTAATAAACTCGGTGTGTGTTTACCACCACGCTGCAGCACCTTCGCCGCAAGTTCGAGAATACTCCATATTTGTGTTCCCTCTCCATTACTCTTACTACTCCCATTCGTATGATCACGCGCTTCCTCAGATAAGATATTCTCCACAGCGGAGAAGATGCGATCCAGGTGCTGTTCCCCACGCTGCGTAAGGGCAATGGCGGCAAGAAGACGAGTTGTTTTATCGTAATTGACATCATCAATTGTTCGTACAAGTTTATTCGTAATAAGAGACTGCAGGGAGGCATCCGGTTCAATTTCAAAAAATCCAAGCACCTGCGATAAAGCCACCGCATTATTCCCTTTTTCCATCCATATATTGATACCATTCTGTGGAACTTCTTCTTCAAGAAACTTTTCTGCCTCTCGTCGGGCAAACTCATATTGTCCTTTACCTCGATGTCTTCGCTTTAGTGCGGCTGCCCTATGTGCAAACTCTGTTACCACTGGTGTTGAGTAATTGTTATTGTTGTTGCTATTGTTATTGTTGTTCTTGTTGCCGCTTCCCCACCCAAGGCCTGCACTTGAGGCGGCCGATACAGGCCATGCTAACATAACCCGAGCATGCCGCATGACGGCGTATTGTGTACGTGAGGGTAATGTCCCCACTTTTTTCTTTCTTTTTTTCTATTACTTCTCTTCTATTTCTCCTATATATACACGTATATATATATATATATATATATATATATATATAT